GAGGAACGGCCATGTCACAAAGCAAGTGTGTCCGCCATTTGCCAGTGCAGGTGTGTTGTTATGTGGCGAACCGCCCTGCACTAGCAGCAGGCGAGGCCACCAAATACATGTCAAAGCGCGCGCGCGTGCGCGCTCGCGCCTCACCGTGCTGGGGCACGCCTCTTCCAACGGCCTTGCGCCCCTGAACACCTCTCAAACCGGGCTTGACGCACCGGGTTGCGGGCGCCCAGGGGCGCAGGGGCAGGTCGGGGCCCAGAGATGCGCACGAAACTCGGCCTGTGGTTTGGGCACAGCGCCACTCAGCGTGGCAAGAATTAGACGGGTGCGCAACTTTGATTAATCAACAGGTGAACAAAGCACCTGGTGCAACGAGAACGCAAAGCAGGCCAGCCCGGCGCGACTAACAAGCTGACTCAGCTTACAGGCACATGGTCCACGTGCCTGCCGCAAGGTCTGCAAAGGGGAGAATGCCAGCCCTCTTGGCCATGCATGTGCCAGTCACAAGGTCAGCGAGCAGAGTTCTTGGGCATTACTTCCAGGGGAGACCACCTAGCAGGGTCGGGTGAGCAGCGTCAACCCTAGGTAAGTAGAGCAGAGCACACCTGCAGGGGCATTCGTACTGCGAATCTCGGGGTTGCTGCTCCTTCCAAGCTTTTGAAAGGTCTTGATGACCACCACCGTGTCCATTGACCAACGTGACATGAAGCTGTTTGCAACGCATGCGAAGTTTGCTGTAGGCCGAGGCTCGCGAGTCAGGGAAAGCACTGGCACGCATGTGGCAGTCTGTTGTAAGGTGAGTGCCCGGCGCCGCAGAGGCTAGGGATATAAAGAGGCCGCATAGCCGGGCGTGATACCAGGAACAGCGAAGGGGCTCATCAGTCAACCAATTGACATAGCACCCATTTGGCACAGTCTGTCGAAATGGGCTTTCACAAACGTCAGGGGTCGGCCGTACCTGCCAAGAGGCGGCAGCTGGGCGCAGCAGCACAAAGAGGCGTATAACGCTGCAGCCATTGGCACAGTCGAGCGGATATTTGAACGATTGACAAGGTAAAATGCACCCCTTCCCCTCCCTGGAAAGGTCGAGCCACATCTCCTTTGGCTAATTGCTGTATGCTGGCTTGAGCTTGCAGAAGCGTCTGGGGTCAGGGTCAAGGGCGAAGATAGACCGCTCAGCAGAGCAGCCCGGGCACAAGCCTGGCAATGAGTGTGCACTTCTGTTTTGGTGCGGTATTGCATGCGCAAAAGGAAAGCTTCTGGCGCAGCGCTCCATATCAAGAGCCGAGCAGCTGGAGCTTCATTGCAGCTGCGCCAGCCCCTCCTGCTGCGACACATCGCACACACGCCCTCGCGTCGCCCACGCTCCTGCTTATGTGTTGCGGCGTCGCACCATGGCCAAGTCTTCATCTGGGTGGTCCCTGCCAACTGCCGTCATCACGGCGCACGGGTCTATGCACCCGCAAGCGCCGGCAGTGCAACGCGCAACGGGACGCTTTCCTTGCATCACCGTAACATGATGTGTTTACAGGGCAGCCTGATGGCGTTGTGTGAATGTCAATGACAAGGTAGCACGGGTCACAGCCCCACACCGCCTCACGCCCGTGCAGCCCTGCTGGTACGAGCACACAGGACAGCTGGCAACTGCCGGCCAAGTCAGCCTGGTCAGCCCTGGTCCTGGTCCATCGCATCCCGACCGCTGCCAGCGTCAGGGCCCTGCAGAGCAGACAGCCAGCAGGGGACAAAGTTGCGCCGGAATTGGAATACAGGGCAGCGCTGCCAGACGTCGGCCGGCCCTTTCAAGGCGCCGGTGACCGGCTGGATTCGGCGGCAAGGGACAGATCTGCAAGGCAGGGGTGGCGCAACCTCACACCAAAGTCGCCTCTGCCCCTTGCAGCAGCCACAAACACTGCCTCGTGCGAACCAGGACGGTTCAAAAACCCACCTCCTCCTCCTCCTCCACCTCGTCGCCAAACTCGCCACCGGCAAGGTTCTCTTCCCCGTCGCCGCCGTACCCCTGCTGCTGCTGCTGCTGCAAACCTGCGGGCGGCGTGCGCCCTGCAGGGGGCTTTGGCACGGGCAGCTGCGTGTCGGCCTTGCGCTTGGCGCCCCTGCGTCCAGCGGTAAGAGGAAGCGTTCGTGCACGTGCATGCGTGCCCGTTGTTGAAAATGTTTTGGGCCCTGCACGCTGGTTTGCCTTGCTGTAAGTGCACATCCAAAACAAGCAGAGGCAATCAGATGGCATACCGTCATTGCCAAGTCCCATTCCTGGACGGCGAGCGCCCTGCTGGCCCTACGGCTTCCGAGGCCCCTTGAACAGCCCCGCGAGCTCACTTGCTCCTGCCAGCGTCGCCCCCCGCCTCAGTGAAGAGCAGCTTGAAGTCACGGTTGGTGCTGCGCTTGGCGTCACGCATCAAGTTAACCTGAGATGGCAGCCGTGCGAGGGGGCGTTTGACGCGCAGCTTGGGTGGCGGGTACAAGGCAAGGCTGCTTGATACAGAGAAGTGCGGCCACGTTCCGCTTACTTGAGTGCTACATGAAATCTGGCAGGAGGTTTACACAGCGCTTTGAGGTTTGATAGCCGTGTCAGGTGTTCCAAAGAGTCCAGGAAAGGTGCAGGGTACATCAGGCCGGCGCGCGGCCTGGTCCACACCTTGGCGGCGCGCCCTGCCAGCACGAGCTGCCTCTCCCAGGCCTCCACTGCAAACACCAGGTTGGGCACCGCGCGCGCGTCACGCTTGGCGCGGTTGACAGTGCTGGGCTTGGAGTCCTGGGCCGGCTCCTGCAGGGCCACACAAGACACAGTGTGTGTGTGTGAGCATGCGTGTGTGTGTGTGTGCATGTGTGTGTGTGTATGCGTGTGCGTGTGGATTTGCATGTGTGTCCGGGTGTGAACGCACACGTGTGTTGTTTGTGTGTAGCAAGGGAAGGGTGACCGTGCGCAAGGGGTAACATTGCCACTGCCTGGCGGGTGGAGGAGGGGGCGCACACCACCAACTTCACAGCATGAGCGAGTTCAACCCACGTTGCGGCCAGAATCTCTACGCTATTGCCGTCGCCCAAGGCGCCAAAGCCCTCGGCATGCGGCCCACGAATGACACCCCACCTCACCGTCTTGGTGTCTGACAGGAACTGGTACATGGGGGGAGTCAGCTCCCGGTTCACAGCGCTCACCAGCCGCTGGAAGTCAGCCGTCACCGTCGCCGCCGCCGCCGCAGTCGCAACACCACCACCCCGCCCGCTGCCGGCCCCGGCCGTCCCCGCCGCGCCGCGCTCCGGCCTGGCGGGCGTGTGGAGCTTGGCGGCGGCCAGCAGTGTCTTGTAGATACGGGTGAGCGACCTGACCTGCGGGGTGGCCAGCGGCCAAGCAGTTTTGGATGAGGCTGGGACTGCAAGAGCATGGCCCTGGCTCAGCACGACCGAACCACGAGACGCTCAGGGCCAAGCCATTGGCTGCCAGCCGAGGAAGGGAAGGGCAAGTGGCCAATAAGAGCAAGAGGCAGCTCCACCATGGCTTGCCCTTGCGCCCCTCGCACCATGGCCTCCACGATCTGGTTCATCCCCAGCACTGTGTTGACGGCCACACCCAGGATGCCAGACAGGCCCTCCAGCCGCCGGCACAACCCAGCACGCATGCGCAGCTGCGCCTGTGCGCCCGCCGCCGCGCCGCTGTCGCCGTCTGCAGGACGCAGGTGGGGTAGGTGCGTGCGGCCGGCAGGACTAAGCTTCCCAGCTTGAAGAACCATCAAGCTGAAGACCACGCATTTGCGACCCTGCAAGGCCCTTGCTTCTCTGCAAGGCCCCTTGTTCCCCTACAAGAACCCATCAAACCCACCTGCGCCGCGCGCTATGCCGGCTATGGCCCTGTCCACGTCTGCCAGGGCCTCGTCGATGTAGGCCATGACAAAGGTGGCGCTGGGCTGGCCGGTGCGCTCCGCGGTCAGCACTGGGAACGAGCTGCCCTGGGTCTGGGGGTGGGAGGGAGAGGGGCGGGGGATGCGTATGTTGGGGCACCGGGGCGGATGCGAGGGCGTTATCTCGGCCACGTTGGAGAGTGCAGCTGTTGCACGATCGGTGCATGAGCGGAGGAGAGGGTGATAGCGAGCATTGACAAACGCGGAGAGCTGCTTTCTACCAACCAACCATAACCACGGCCCCTGGTACACCGCCGTCTCCCAGGGTAACTCCCGGGGTCGCGCGTGCGCACGCCCCGCCGACCTGCGTGGCCTGGGTCTCGCTGTCTGCGTGGCCCACCACCCGCTGCACGTCATCCGCCACCTGCTTCAGCACCACCAGGTCGTCCTGGGACCCTGGTTTCGTTTTTGAAGCCAGGGTGGGTAGTTGGCATGCGCAGGTTTTAAAATCAGGGGTGCTCGGGTCGTGCAGGCAGAAGCTGGATGTAGGGCCAGCATGCGGGTCACATCGAACTTCTCCCCATAGAGCCGCTTCGCTTGCTGGAACGCCAGGCTCATGACCCATTGCAAGGCTTTGTTCCAGAGCCCCAAGGTGCAGTCAGCCACTCACTGCTGCACCGCACCACCAGCTCCAGTAGGGCCTTGATCAGGGGCACGTTGGTCACCTCTGGGGCGCGCTGCTGGCACGCCTGGCGTGCCCACGCGGAAAGGGACTGCAGCGCCTGCCGCCCCTGCGCGGCCAACGCTTTTGTTGCTGCTGCCTCGGCACCTGCGCCACCTTCTCCACACTGCTGCAGCTGCTGCTGCTGCTGCTGCTGCTGCTGCTGCTGCTGCTGCTGCTGCGGACCAGCTCGAGGCTTAGCCGCCGCGCCTGCCGCCGCCGTGGCCGCTGCCTGCGCCGTGGTCTCCGCTGCCGCCAGCCGCCTGCCGAGCAGCGCGAGCGCCTGCACCACCGTGTGGGCAGCCTTGAAGCAGCTGGCCTGCATCAGGCTGTCCACCCCCCTCTGCACCAGGGGCAGCAGCCGCGCCAGCGCTGCAACCATCGCCACGTCCCCGGCTTGCTTGGGCTCAACCCCGGAGACGTCGCCGCCGGCACCATGCGCCCGCGACCCCGGGATGGCCAACCCATCCTCCTCTTCCAACTGCTGCTGCTGCTGCTGCTGCTGCTGCTGCTGAGGTGGCGGTGCAAGGGCATGCGCAAACGGCACCAGCTGCTGCGTCGCGTCAGCCAGCAACACAGCCTGCAGCAGCGCCCTGGCCGCCAGCCACTCGAGGGTGTCCCCGCCGCCGCCATCTGCACCGTCGGCCCCGGCCCCGCCGCTCGCTGCGCTGCTGGTTGCCGCCGCTCCGCCAGCCGCTTTGGAGCCCTTGCCACCCTTGCTCTTCGAGCCCTTGACGGCGGCGCCCGGCCCAGCGCCACCGACGTGCCTGCCGCCAGGGGCCGCTGCCCCCAGGATTGACTGTGCACCAAGGTCGAGGGATGGTGCGGCCGGACAAAAACGCAAGTGAGACATTGGCTGATGAGGACTCCAGAGAGGTACAACACCAATCACACACAAGAACCAATGCAGGCAACGGCACTGAGACCCTCCTGAACCCGCAACATTACTCCCACCTGCACCAGCTTGAACAGCGGCCCGCCTAGCACCAGCCACGCCCCTCCGCCCTCGCCGCCGCCACCTTCCAGGAGCACTGCGCCCGCCGCGTCCCGCTGGGTTGCCTCTAGCATGTTGGCGGCCGCTGACAGCACGAACGCGCGGAACTTGTCGCTCCGCAGCAGCCGGGTGGTCTCGGCGTCGCCCCCGCCCGCGCTGGGGGCGCTGGGCCCGGCGGAGGCGCCCCAGCCGGCAGGCGGGGGCTGCACGAGGCCGTCCTCCACGATGGCGCCGCACAGCGCTGCCAGGCAGGGCGCAGAGAGCTGAGGGGTGCGCGCCTCAACTGGGACATAGTCCTGGGACGCAGGCTTGGAGCGCTTGGCGGTTGCGTCGGCGGCGCCGCTGGTGCCAGTGCTGGCAGTTCCGGGTCCCTGTAGGAGAAAGAGGATCGGGGTTCATTGGGCTGCTTGCTTGTTGGGAGTCGAGCTAGTTTGCACCAAGGCAGTGGCCCCCCTTGACCCTTGGTGCTGGCCGCTTATCCAGCCAGCCAGGCGGCAACACCCGGCCAAGCATGTTGATGTCGAGTGCTGGCAGCACACGTGTATCTGCTGACCAGCCCACCTTCCTGCCCTTGCCGGCGCCGCCCCTGGCTCCTGCACGCGCCAGCTCAGCGAGTCGCGAGTGCAGGCGGTACGCCTCTGCCAGGTCGCGGCCGTGGCGCTGTGCGCTGTGGGCGGCGCCGTGCGGGGGTGCGTCGGGGCCGCGTGCTATGGCCAGGTTCAGTAGCTGGCACTCAGCCACGATATCCTCCATGACCACCTGGGGCAGGCAGTGCCGCAGGGTTGGGGTTGCAAGAGAGGGCAGGGCTCACAAGCAGGCATGGTCAAGGGGACACTCACGATTGCTTGAGTGTGCACACACGCATCGATGGCAGGGGTTGAGGAAGATAGAAGGTGTGCGCCACGTAGTGCGCAAGGCAGGGGCGTGCTGTTCAGCTGACAACGCTCGGCCAGCACAGCGTCCCCGCCCACCTCAACAGCTCCAAGGAGGTTGCCTATGTGCATCTGCGGAACCAGGACATGCATTAGCACGGGGTGCGAGGATCAAGATGCTTCCTGCGCCCGCCCCAGCCCCTGGTGGGTCTTGCATTGGCAAGTACAATCACCAATTCAAGGGCCCGTGCAACTTTGGTGTGACCAGGGCAGGGGTCTTCGTGAATGACGCTTGGCAGCAAAGCACCTGCTTGATGCTCCCCCCACCTGGTTGAGGGCGCCCGCGGGTGTCGCTGGATTGAGCTCCGCACCACGGTCCAGGCCAAAGTGCTCCGGCTCACACTGCAGCAGCCGCTTCCGCAGCCCGCAGAGAAGGGCCTGGCGGGCAAGGGTTTGAAGAAATCCAGAGTCAGGCTGTTGGCAGGGCCGCACTGGAATCAGCCGCTGCCCAGCAGGCCGCAATCCACCTCAGCACGACTCAATGCCCCTTCCCCACCAACCAGCTATGGTCGAAAGTGCAGATGCACTGGCATGTGCATATGCATGTGGGTGCGTTTGCGTTCACGCACACGCGCACACGCGCACACACGCACACACTTGCGCGCACACTGACATGCACACACACACACACCATCACAGAAAGTGACACACACTTACGCACACCTGCAGCGCCTTTGAGCTTTCACAGCCCAGCTCAACGCGCATCAGCTGAGACGCCATTCCAACGCTCATGGTGGTGGCGTCGGACCCGTCAGCGCCGCAGCCGCCCTCGCTGCCGCCGTCTGGCGTCTGCAGCGCCGCCAAGCGCCGGGCGCAGGCCAGAAGCGCCGGCAGTGGCTCCACGAGCGCGGGCTCTACGCCAAGCTGCGGTTTTATGTTGAGCAGGGCAAAGGGAACGGTCGGGGTTGCCTGCGTGAGATTTTGACCCCGAAGTGATAGAAGGTGGCTGTAGCCCAACTGTCTCTGCTGGCGAGCTGCTCCTCCTGCTATCCACCTGCACTCCTCAGATCACCCTATGCATGCACGGTCTCAATGGTATGCATCTGGCCACTTGCTTTTGGGGGCACACCCCTCATCACGACACCCAGCTGGGCAGCCCAGGCGCATACCCTTCCCTTCACCTGATGGCTGGCGGTGCACTTGCCCAGGTCGAGCGGCGGCAGCGCGTCCCCCTCTGAAACGTAGCGCTGCATGTGGGGGTACAGCAGCTCCGACAGCAGCTCGTGGCACCGCGGATCCGCAGACAGCACCTGGGAGCAGGCGGGGGTTGGTTCTCTGTGCACTCGGCACACACTGCGTGGCGGTCTGAAGAGAGGGTTGACCGAGGGATTTACAACAAGGGTGCTTTCTGCAGTGCGAGGTGTTGGTAGCAACGTCTGTGGCGTGGCCAAGCCGATTTTGGGGACCATGCGGCCCAACGCGCGGGGCACACGCACCTGGGAGAGGCCCGAGTAGAGCGCCGCGCGCACTGGGGCCTGCTGCGTCAGAGCCCTGCACAGGCGAGAGTGGAACCGTGAGCAACGAGAACGCTGCCGTGATCTGCTGCAAAGCGCTGGTGTGAGGGGAAATGCAGCAAGCAGGCTGCATGAGCAGGGCGCTTGTGGCCATGGCCTGCCAACCTCACGTGGGGTTCCCTCATTGTGCTGCGCTGCCCACCTGCGCAGCACTCCCGCCAACTCTTGCAACAGGTTGACGCCGCCACCTGATGACAGCGCGGACATCTGGCTGAGCGAGGCCTTTGCGGGAGGGATGGGAGGGGGAAGGGCAGGGTTCACCACCCCCGCAGGAACAGAGGTCCCAGGGGTCAAGGACAAAGGCAAAGCAGAGCCGGACGTAGACGTATGACAGGAATCACGCCCTGGAGGTGAAAAGGGCACGCTTAAACCCGTGCCGCAGCCTCGTGCGCACCTGGCTGCCGCTGGCCTGGCTGCCGTAGTTGGTGGCGGGGCTTGGCTCCGGCACGGCCCTCAGCTGCTCCAGGATGAGATACATGAAGCCGCGGATCGCCACGACCCTGGCGCACCGTCATACAAAGGTGACGGGGCAAGCATGTTTGAGGCGTGGAACAAGCTTTGAAGTCGGTATATGGGCTTGGCAAGGCAGGTCCGATGGATTACGTGCTGCGATTCAAGGATGAAAAGGTGGGATGGGCTGCGTAGGCGTGGCTGACCACGCATGGCATGAGCTTGAAGGTTGGGCCGAAAGGCCACCCAAATTCTGGGGTGCGGCAGCAACAGACCACCTGCTGTTGAGGTCTCGCCCGTACATGACCTTGCGCAGCAGCATGATCACTGACAGAGGGAGACGAGGGGGAAAGGGGGCACCGTGAAGCCGTAGCAGGCATGGCCATAGGCGGTACACAGCGTGAAACACGCCCCTTGGGTCCCAGCGGCGGTACCTGCATTGCTCATCCGAGCCCACTGATCAGTACAGTGCCGGCCACCAGTGGCCTCCTGGCTGAGCCCAGCACCGACCCGCACCGTGGTCCTGCAGCTCCCGCCTGACGCGGCACAGCGGCCAAAGCGCGCGCAGGAGCGCCATGGCCGCCGCGGGCGGCAGCGCGGCAAACTGGCCCAGGCAGTCCTTGAGGGGCTGCATGTGGCCCGCCAGCAGGCCCGGCTGGGCGCGGCAGAGGCGCGCGAGCAGCAGCACGCGCGGCAGGCAGGCCTCCAGCTTGGTCGCGCCCAGCTGCGGGCGCCGCATATAACGCAGCATGGTGTGTGCGCTTAGGCCGTCAGAGCAACAGATCGCCAAACAGACACACACCTCTGCTTTCATGCTGCGCCCAGCAGACCCTGGAGTTTGACAACCGAGCGCCCAAACCGCATATCGCACCTGGCACGAGCGGAGGACCTCGTCCCTCGCCTCTGGGTGGTTCTCAAACACTGCACCAAGCAGCAGCAGCCCCAAGCGCACAGCCCTTGTCCCGGGCGACGCCTGAGCTGGCAGCCCGGCTCCCACCCCCATGCCGGTGTCTTTGCTGCCGCTGGTGTCGGCCCCTTCGCCCGCACCACAGGCCAGCACCAGGTGCAGGGGGGAGTCCACCTGGCAGGCCAGCAGCTGGCGGCCCAGCGCCAGGGCCCCCGGGGCCACCAGCTCGCCAGCAAACTGGCTGTGCCTGCGCGTGGGATTTGATGGGAAGGGTGTTGCATAGGCAATGCGAGGCTTCTCTTCTAAAGGTGGAGTATCAAATTGAGCCAAACAAACTGCCGGCAATGAAGCGGCATCATGCTGCCTGCCTGACCTGTTGAGATACAGTCTGCCAGAGCTTCCGGGTTGGTAGCCCTGTTGGCGCGCCCCTGCTCACCTGACCGCCCGCAACAGAGCTTCCTCCAGCGCCACCCCGCCGCCCCGGCCGTCCTCCACGCCTGTCATCGTGCCGCTCGCCGCCAGCCAGGCGCAGCCGGCTCCCGGCTGCTCTGCGGCATATGCGACCAGTGCAGCACGCTTCAGCAGCTGCAGCACGGGTGCCTCCAGACGCGCGACGCCGCACATGGTCAGGGCAACCTGCCCAGGATAGTGCGAGGGTGTGAGGAACGCAGCACATGTAGAGGGCAAGGACGATTTGTAAGTGTATGCAAGAAAGGAAGTGGAAGGGCCGCCCACTGCATGTAGCTGCCACCTTTGTGCCGTGCATTGCGCAGCGTTGCCTAGGGGCCTGCCCTTGTGACATGAGTGCTCACACGCACCCACCTGCAGCAGGAATGGCGAAGGTCTGAGTCCCCCGGCCTTGAAGTGCTTCAGCCACTCTGAGCCCAGGGCTGCATCATACTTCACGAGAGTGGAGATGTGCATCAGCACGGTGCCCTCGACCTGGCGGATTGGGATCGAGCGAAGCAGGGTGTGGGGTGTAGGTAGACTGTGAGGTGGCTGACAGAGGTTGAGGGCTCTGAGGGTGCGACATTGCAGATGAGGGTATGGGGGGTAGAGATAAAGCGGGGTGAAGAAGGGGGTATGTTAAATAGGAATTGTGGTGGAAAAAGCAGGGTGGTAGCAAAAGCCAGACAATAAGAACAAAATGAGTATGTGGCGCAATCACAAAGCATTGGCATAGCCCACAAATAGTTCGAATAAAGCCGGGCCAGTCAAATCGCACCTGCAGCAGGACGCTTCCCGGGGCTGCTTGCCTATCCTGCCCTCCGCCAGTGGCACCGCCGCCGCGGGCCCTGGCCAGCTGTTCAAACAGCTCAGCCACCTTGCCCAGGGCGTAGATGCGCGGGCCTGCGGCCGACGCCAGCAGCACCTGGTACAAGATTGGCGGCAGCTGCTGCAGCTCCGCAGCCCTGTGTGGTGGGTGCGTCGCAAAAGCGTTGAATCACGGCTCCAATCTGGTTCATACATCAGCACTGGCATATTGTGTAGAAGCTGCTGGGGTTGCTCAAGACAGGCGCTGAGTGCGGAGCACAAAGCGCTCAACACCGCACCTGGCGCAGCTGATGGCCTTGCGTATGACCTCCTTGGCTTGTGCGGGACTCAAGGGGATCTCGCGCGCCACAGCCAGCAGCGCACTGACCTGGAAAGGGCCCGGGGGGGCGAGAGGGTGGGAGCCCCAAGGGCTCATACGTGCTGAGTCGGTAGGTGCTTCGAGCCGGCGTCAAGCATATTGCAGCACTTGCATGGGCTGAGCGTACTCAAATGAACGTGGTTGTGTGCACAGCGCGCGCTACCCTCGCGCCATGTGCTCACCTGATCAGGGCGCCATTCCGCGTGCAGCAGCCGGTGAAGTGCTGAATCTCTGTGGTGGAATAGCAGGGTTGCAGGGACCACTTGGCGGCCGCTGCTTTCACGCCTGTTGCATGCAGAAATAACGACCGTGTGATACGCAAGCCGTGCAGCATGCATGGCATCTACAAGACAACGACGATCGCGTGCGCGCGCGCACACACACACACACACACACACACACACACACACACACGCACACGCACACGCACACACACACACACACGCACACAGACACGCACCTGTGCGCCGCGCTGGGCTCTGCCGATGGCGTCCCCTGGTGGCTGTCGCCTCCATCAACAGCATCGGCCACACAGCGCCCATCGCCGCCCTGGCTCGCGCCGTCTGCCGCGCCCGGCGGGATCAGCAGCAGGCAGGGCGGCAGGAGCTCCAGCACGGCGACCGCGTGGGGGCGGCCCTCCTCAAGGCCGGCCAGGCAGCAGCTGGAGAGGCGCATGCGGTCTGCAGGGGCCAGGTGCTCCAGCTCCGCCATCGCCACCAGCACAAGCTCCTTCACACGCGGCCCCTGGTCCGCGGGGAGCTCATGCAGCAAGCCCGGCAGCCGCGAAGCAATTGCGCCGCGCAGGGCCACGCAGGCGGCCGCGGCTAGTGGTGGGTCTTGCAAAGCGGGGCGCGTGGCGCGCAGCAGTTGCGACAGCGCGTCCTGCGTGCATGAATAGTCCAGCAGCAGGCAAGTCAGGATGAAGTTATGTAGACATGTAATCAGTCTTCACAATTAGGCATGTGATGCAACACATGGGCCTCCCGCAGCGCACCAACCATGATATGTGCATGGTACAAGGTGCGCAAGCTGCATATGCGAGGCTCAGTGCGTCCTTTCAAACATGTACCTTGGCTTGCTGCGACTGCAGCAGCTGCTGCAGCTCAGCGCACAGCGCAGCCGCGTCTGCTTGCGCGACCAGCTGCTTCACATCCACAGCAGGCTGCTGGCTGCCATGATAAGACGCTCTGAACGCGCCAATCAGCGCTTGCAAGTCGCTCATAATGGTGACTTGATAGCGCGAGGAGATCGGGTTTGATCAGACCGACATGGCAAAATCGCATGGTAAACGGCCGAAAACGACGTTCGTGGGCATTTCTACTTGCATTCCAACAAAACTGAGCTTTTTGTTGGCCGCCACTGCTTCAATCATCCTCCGCGTGCTGCCCGTGCTGCGACAGGCAGTGCAATTCAAATTTGCCAGGCAGGCCAAAGTGACCCGCATGCCCCACGGTCGTGAATGCTGATGCAAAGCATCCAACTTCACAACACAAGTATGAAAATAATTGTGCTCGTGATGCTGCACACGCTGAAGTCTTGTTCGATACCGGTCCTGTCTTGCAAACGCTTGATTATGCCGCCAGCCCTCAAAAGCAACCTTTATGCTGCCGTCCGTCCGGCTAGTTTTGATACTTTGTTCGGCTGCATGGTAGTTGAAAAGCGCTGCTGCATCGATGGCCGTATTGCATTCAGCATCAATTTTGACCAATATTCAAGTCAGTGACACGCTTTTCACGTGTAGCTTGCTGTGCCCAATCTTATGCCCCTTCCACGCCTGCTACTGCATTGCCTCTGCTAGACAGTATCATCGTCTATGTTTGAGTGCTCATATACATGTAAGTGTCTGGATATTACAGAAGCGCGTTCATCCTTGATGGTAAGCACGCGAGCTTATGCAAAGTCACAGCGGCACGTTGGTGAAGGAGGTGCAAAGAAAATCCTGACAACACATGTCAGTCACAATACATATTGCATCAAGCAACCCAACATGCAGGGATCGCATCTTGGGTTGAGCAGTAATAGTGACTTGTGAGAGACTATCACTCATCAGCTGCGCAGCAATGTCACCCAAGCCAAGGCGCTTTGCAGAGCCGGGCAGGTCAAAGAAGAACACATAACAAAATCACTTTACACAAGAACGGCTGCTTGCAGGCACATGCGATGCCAGCACATGGCCAAAGGAACCTGGCCCCTGCCTGATCAGTTTATGGTACGTCAGCAACACAACAATACGCAGCAGCATGGGAAGCTAGTAAGCAGTGGCGAGCTCTATGTCCTCCTGTGACAGCTGCAGGTACCGATTCTCCTTGGCGGGGCGGAAGCTGGCCCCCACCCAGGTGTAGAACGCCAGCGCGGCCACCTCATTTACGGCCTCGGTCGTCCACGAATACCTGGGCGGCAAGGCGGAGCACGGGCACAAGGCAGCACACCTCAAGTGGTGAGTGCCTGCAGCGCTCAAGCTATATGCCGACATGCACGTCACATGGTGCGCATGCGCCCTGTGCTTCACCAAATGCCGCTGCAGTGTCTCTGATGCGCCCCTTGAGCTCCGCCCGCACCTGTACTCCACGAAGTTCTTCAACAAATACACCACTATGCGCGTGAAGTAGATGTATGCCACCTGGGGGCAGCGGGTTGGATGGTGGTGGTACATTCAGAGGGGGCAGGGCCAGTAGGGTGGGTGCGCCATAATGTGGGGTTTGCACAGCGACAACGGCCAGCGGCCAGTTGCTTGTGGCATGCGGGACGCCCGCGAGGCCATAGGCCAAAGACCCCTGCCAGCTGCAATCGGATCACTGCAGGGTGGCGCCAGGCGTGGCGTGTGCGGGATGCTTTTGGGCGATGGGTGGGTGGGTGGGGGGCGCTGGCGCACCACTGTGACGTAGAAAGTGCGGAATAGCCTCAGCTTGGCCAGGCTGCGTGCCGCCTTGCCGTCCACCGTGGCCGCCTCACGCAAGTGCTGTGGGGTTGAGAAGATAAATGAATGGGGTAAGCGTGTTTGCAGCATAGTGAGTAATTGTGCGCCCTCCCTGCAAAGGCAGAGACACTCCCATCAGCAGACAACCGGCAGCGAGCGCTGCTAGGGGCGCACCTTCATCTGCCACAGAATTGGGAAGAGGATCGCGGCGCAGCAGGCAATGTCCACCAGGTGAAATACATCCTGTTTGTGCGTGGGCGGGAGGGGCGTGAAGTGTGACAATCAGGAGGGCCTACAGCTGACCAGCGCAGCAGTGCGAGGACGATGGGCAAGCAGCCCGCAGCAGCCGCATGCCAAGTCTCTGCGGTCGCGCAGCAGGTTCCCCTGCAACAACCAGCCAGTCGCCGCGTGCTGCCCATTGCTGCCCCCCTCCAGTCCTCGCGGCCGCCCCTCCTCCCGTGGCTGGGCTGCAGGCGCACCCTCCATGCGATCCAGTCCCTCATGGCTGGGCTCTCCTCGTCCAGGTACACCAGGGCAATGTTGGCCAGCACCTGCCGCGCGTTGGGCGCGACGGCGGCAACAGGGCAAAGGGGATTCAGGGTCAGTGTGGCAGCATGCGTGGGCAGAGATGGTCCCGGTCCCGTCGCTGTCCCGGCAGTACATGCCGCCGGCGTGAGGGGGTCTGCGTGCGCTCTGCCCTTCCTGACCTGCAGCGGTACTACCACCAGCAGGGTGGTTCGTGTCCGGTCGTCCATGAAAGGCTGTGGTTGATGGGAGGGGTCGGGAGGGCGGGAAAACAGTGACCGAGCGGCCAGGTGCCAGCCTGACTGCAGGCACGAAGGCGTTGACGTGCCACATGTCTGAACCGGCTCGAGCGGACCACAGCTTACAAAACCCCAAACCCACTCACCAGATGGCAAGTGGTTCAGCTCGGATTCGTGCACCTCTACTCCCCTTTTAGCACCCCGCCCCACCACACACACACACACACACACACACACACACACACACACACACACACGGCGGTGACTTCCAAACAACAGCGCAACCATGCGGGGGGCCCTCACCTTCATGTAGCTCCAGCCCGCTCCGATGAGCACCACCACGCTGAAGAACAGCAGCCCCCTGGCAGTGGTGAAAACATAGTACGCGTAATTCCAGCCGTCAGCCAGGCCGGTGCGCTCCACGTGCAGCGTCATCAGGGCCTAGGGAGGGTAGGTTGGGGATAGTTTGGGAATGAAACAGTCGAACATGCTGAGTGCACGTGCTTGTCGTCAGGTTGCTGCTTTGGGG